GACCCATTAGTTTTACATCAGTTGTGGGAGAAAGTTTGGAAAGTATGTTAAAAGATGCTTTGCAAAGTCATTAACAAAGTTTAGAATTTTATTGGGTAGTCAACTTGGTTTCACTAAGAGAAAATCTTGCCTTACAAATCTTTTAACCATTCTTTGAAAAAGTTACTGCTTATGTAGATGAGAGTAGGGGTGTAGATTTTGTGTATCTGGATTTTCAGAAACCATTTGACAAGGTGCCACATAAAAGGCTTGTAAAAAAAATTAGCTCTATACGTGTGGGTGATAAGTTAGCAAATTGGATAGAAGAGTTGCTGGATGGAAGAAAGCAGAGGGTTGCTACAAATGGAGTTCAGTCAAACTGGATTAATGTCACAAGTGGGGTACCTCAGGGCTCAGTCTTAGGACCTTTGCTCTTTTTTGATTTACATCAATGACATAGATGAAGGTATAGTCAATTAATTACTTAAACTTGCAGATGATATTAAGGTCTTGGGTGTTGCTATCTGTGAAGAGGATGCTGCTGATTTACAAAAGGATTTACATCATTTAGTGAGTTGGGCGAATAAATGGCAGATGTGTTTTAATTATAATAAATGCAAGATTATAAATTTAAATTATAAGTATAATTTGGATGGGAATAACCTTAATAGTATGTAGGGATGGGCCAAGAAAAAAATGACTGTCGCATATTATGTATTGTTCATCATAGTCTCAAATCTATCTTATAACAAAGTAAGAGACTTTTATAAATATCTAACTTAGGTTTTCAAGGTCTTCAAAAGTTATTAAAACCTTCAGTATAACCAAAAAACATCGTTAAAGTAGAGAACCGGCGAGTAGCTTAACAGCCAAATGTTCTGCTGATTATTCTGATTGTAGCTCACCAATGATTGATGTTGTTGTGATGATTTACACACCAAAATGTTGCATTTTAACTTGGGAAGTGCAGAAGCAGTAGTGTTTCAGTAACTTCAACACATTATGTCCATCAAGACAACTCATCATGCCAGACTAAAACTGCTGCCTTCATAGCAACTGCCATTCATTAAAAAAAGAGGAAAATAGTAATAAAAAGTAAAAAATAAGGATAATTTAGGGATTGCAATAGTAAAAAGTACAGAAACAAGGTAGGGATGAATACACAAAACTATACAGAAATCCCTACATAAGTACTCACTGAGTCAATGTTAGAAGTTTACGGAAATTATTTTTTGTATATGTAATCACGTGAGTCAACTGTTTCTTATACTGTATTATTTTCTTTATTAATTTTTTCACGATGTTAAAAGTTTATATAAAGTTACAGAATATTTAGGAAAACTTGTTCTTAGGTAAAATAAGAATTTAATATAACAATTTTCATTTTACAGAATGATGGGCGCAAATATTTTACTGTCAGCACGTTTGGCTTTTTAAAAGGTGGTAAACTTGATATACAAGTGAACGAGTTATCGTTTTATACCTCTCATTCTGAAGCCAAGGTGAGTTAAAGATTGTTTAAGTTTTTTGTTGAGTGTAGGTGAGAAAAATGTGTATTTCTCAAAATGAAAATGTAGCTGTATGTTACCACATTTTACAAAATGAGGGAGCTGCCTTATCACATGCTTGTCATTCAGTGAATTAATGAACTTGCATCAAGATTTCACTTTTTATTTTTTTAGGATACACTGAAGTATGTATACATATATATCTATATATTTATTACCAAATGTATATTTAGAGCATTTTGTTTCGTTGACTTTTGCTTTCTGTGTCGTGTTTTAAAATCTTAAAAATACTAAGCTTTATGAATAAGTTAAAGTTCTGTACTGTCAACACCCATTAGAAATATAGTACTTATACGAGTGCAGTATAGTTGACAGTTACTTCCGTATCTTTTCACATTCTCAGAACATCATTTAGTACCAGTATGTATACATCTTTATAGAGTATTGATATGATATTAATTTTAAAGTTCCAGAAATGTATGTTTAGTTTTTACATTTTTACAGTATTTTATCATGTTATTAGTTTCAGCACCATTATTAAGTGCATTGCACTTTGGTGAATTATAAAATCATGAAGTAAAAATCAAGAAAAAGTTGAAGTAACAAAAGTGTCGTATTTTACAGTTTGGATTCAGTTTGTCCAGATCTATTAGTGATGGTATGGCTCCTTACCTAGTGAGTATTTCATGTTCTTATGGTGAGAATACATTTCTGTATACTGTGGTAATGAAAAAAAAAAACATGAAATTTAGATTGATGTGTAGTTTATTAAAAGCTGTTATATTAATTTTAGTAGTTACCAAAGGACTATTTGTCTGAGTATGAAACAGTATAATGATTCTAAAATGTTAAGAAATAGAAATATTTACATATTCCAAGTAACTCAGACATTTTAAATTTGTCGTTAGGTGGATATTGAAAACATCTATAACATCTCAACAGATATTGAGTGCATTAGAAAGCTAAACACGTTGTTTATTTGTGTCATTCTTAATTATAAACTTTGTCTTTCACTATGCAGAAATATTTTGTTAAAAGGTGCTAGTAAATATATAATTCATGTATTTTTACAGTACTTAGTATTCAATTCCATATTTTATTGAAAAAATATGTATTAAATTTCACTGTGTTTTTAAATTATTTAATGGCAGTTTCCAATATGATACATAACTTCCTCTCACACATAGCTTTCACAATTCAGTTCCACCCTCTATATACAAACTTTTTTGCTTGCCATTAGCCTTGTGCTTCCATATGATACTGCTGTGCTGTTGCATGCAAATAAACATGCAACAACCCTCCACTAATAGGAGTGCAACACACCTTTCTAGTGCAGTTGACTCCCTCTATACTGATTGTTTGATCATCACTTCTTGATTTGGCACTTGCATGTTAAAAACTTGTATTTTTTTCTCTAGTGAGCTTTATTGATATAGACATTTTTCTTGCACAATATCTACACATTAAAATCATTGTTGTGAAAAGTTTACTTTTGAACTTTAATTTTTCAACTTCACTTTAAAATATGCTTTTCTTTCCACATTATGATTTCTCACATTACTGTCCTTTCCACTTTATCTGGCATGGGACAGCAAGAAATTATTGATGCTGGAAAAATAACAACTATGATGTCAGGTTTCCCTTTGTCTGTTGAAGAGGTAACAGCCATTGTGCAAAGGGAGATGGAGTTCTGCCACTACTGTCATTGATCTCCTTAGACATTCCACTTCTTTCTTATATATAATTTCTCTATCACCTGTGTCGTATGGTTCTGTGCCATTCCTTCTTCATTTGAACCCTTCTTTTGACTATTATATTTTACCTCCTGCAGATATTCGAGTCAATGCTAAGCGTTTTTATCTTTACATTGTTCTGATCCTAGCATGCCTCATCCTCCTTGCATGATTGATCACATGCTTTAGCTTATTATTGGGCTAATTTTCCTTTCCTGTACACCCTAAATCTGGAATCTCTTCTTCAGGCTTAGGGTTCTGATCTTCTATTTTATGTTTGACTTTCTCAGTCTCTATTTTCTTGCCTTCCTCTTACACTCACTACCCTTTTATACTATCTTTCCTTCATTCACTTTATTTCAAAGGCAATTCATTGTTCCTTTGAGGGTTTTTGGTGGATTCTCATTCTCTCATCTTTTTTACTTTGCCACATTTATCTTCCTCAGTCTTATCACTTTTTACTTGGTTAATCAATTATTGGGATTTTTTTTGGAAGGGATGCCATTCTTGTTCAAGTGTATTTGTCTCCCTGTTATCTCAGAAGCCTTCGTCTGGCTCTTTTCATCTGCCAAGAAATTTTTGGTGTTGTACACAATTCTCTGAAGATGCATGTTCAGGCTTCACACCAACATTTATCCATATCTCACTTGTTTCTTGTATATCCCACTCTTCTTTACCTATTTCTGTCTCCCATCCTTCCGCTTCCTCTCCACTCTCCTGTTTCTATACTCCGATTTGTTCTTCCATTGTTTGCAGACTTCTGCACTGTTAGTCTCAAGAGTGACTATCCTTGAGAACAGTAGGGGCCCATTTATCTTGATTTGGGGATCTTTGGCATCTGTTTGTGGTCAACCATTGAGTACTGCAAGTTCTATCAAAGGTCCTTACCTTCATTTTTCTGCTCCTTCTCCCTTGTCCTCCTTCCTTTCCCTCCTCCAAGGGATCATATTTTTCAGCATCTGTCAGAGACAATATCAGACCTATTGACCAAAGATGCTGTTGAATGAGTTTCTCACCCTTCTGCAGGATTTTATTTCTATCTGTTTGTTGTTCCAGAGTTAGTTATTTTAGTTAGTTATGTATTATGTGTGTTTTGAAAGTCATATTTGAATGGTTTAATGATTTTTACAAGCTTAACTTGTTGCCTGGATTGAGAAAGGTAGGGATTCTCCTCCTACCATGGCCCAAAAGACAAACTTGTGGTGCTGCCTGGTTTTGGACTGGAGCTGACCCACCATACATAGTCTGATATGTTTTAACCACACTACACATATAGCACTTCCATGAGCTTTAAGCAGTTTCTGGACTGGGCTTCTATTTTCTGCCCATCCTTGGGACACTTCATTTTTTTTATGTATAAAGAGTGTACCCTGGTGCATACAAGGTGCGGTCTCCCATGGATATGCCCCTATACTGTTCCATGGCATATAGTGTTGCACTCCATTGTTGTTTTTTTGGGTGGTTTCCAAAGGGGGAACATCTAGATAAATTTTACACCAGGCTAAATAACCAATTAAATTTGTATATACCAGGTGAAGCTCACAAAACTAATCATTGCCTAATAATCAAATTGTTTATATTCATCTTTCTGCCCTTTCATTAAAAAAGAAAGGAAAAATAAAGTAAAGTAAAAAAAGGAAAGTGCACAAGAAAAGGAAAAAGTAAAGTAAAAAAAAAAAGGAAAGTGCAGAAAAGGAAAAAATAGAGTCTAATGTTAGATGATAAATGTGAAATTAATGTAAATCTAACAGCTTTTGATCTATTAAAAAAAAGGAATTAGTTGGATACCTGAAAGCAACTTGCTATTATGTGTGTAAGATGAGACACAAAAAGATATTGAGTTATCCAGCAGTTCACATTATTTCTCAATTTTTATTAACTGGATATAAAATCAAACCGGAAATGCCAAATTTACTACAGAATTTTCGCAAGAATAATGAATGTAAGTTTTCAAGTCATCCACACATGTAATTGTGAAAAGATTCACTAGTTTAATATAAAAATTTAAAATTGTTGTGTATATTGTGTATATACAACAAGAAAGAAGAACATCAACATGCATTAATAATGTTCATCATTAATATCTGAGTGATGATTATTTCCTTTAAGTGGACATGGTTAAGTGAAATTAATTTACCCTACTTTTTGTGTTGTTTTCTTATATATATAGCAAAATTATTTTATTTTTGATACTATTTTCTATTTCACTTTGTTAAATTGTAACGTATCAAACAACTTATATTTGAAATTTTTACATATTGAAGTTTTTCAATGTTCTTGTAATTTGTGACAATTAATTTTAATGAAGAGTAACATGACAGTGTTTATCAAATTCTGATCTGTGCACAAAGGTTTTGCTATTTTAAAATGTCCCTAGTATCAATCATTTACTTGAAATATTTTGTAAATACAATTGTAGCTTAGTCTGATTCAAGAAAACTAACTTGGCAGACAGATTTTTGAAAATTTATCAGTTTAATGAAAGCCCTTGTAATGCACAGAAATATTAACTTTCAATAATAGTTTTTACTAATTAATTTGTTAGGTATGAGTTATTGGTAAATTGCAAATGTTTGCAGTCCAGAGGTGTGTAAATGAGAACTTCTAAGATGTCTGTACATACGTTAATAAAATGCTGCAACAAATTTTTTTATTGTTCTTATAGGAAAACCACCAGGAGAAATGTCTACTTCTTGATGACTTACATAATGATGATACCAGTTTTGATATCATTTTGTTTGTATTGAAGATAAGAAGAAAGGTGTAGGTTCTTGTTTAGACTGTATTGCTATTAATTCTGTTTAATTTGTTTTATTCATAACATTTAGTAAAAATACTTGATCAACAGAAGGTGAAATACTAGAAATAATTTCTTGACTTTTGCAACCTATTTTTTACTGAACTCTTTATTTTTCAATCTTATCAGTGGATTTGTATTAAGAGATCCTGTTTGGAACTAGTAAACTTAGCCTAAACAGACTGACTTCTCAATTAAAGTAGTTTCATTGATGGTAAAAGGTTTGAATGTGTGTCACTTCAAATCATGGCATAGTTTTGTATGCGTGGGAACATGAATGAATATGTATGCATTAGTGTTGGAACAGTAATTAATTATCATGATATTCTTAAAAATTCTTTTGCATCAATTGTTTTATTACCTTCAAAAATTATTATCTATAATTGCATTACTATCCATTACCCAATAGAAAAGAAAAATCACCATTACAACTACTAGGTGGTGTTTGTTGGTAACAGTACCTCTTCATTGAAGCATAGGCAGTACTGAATTGTCAGTATGAGGCCTAAGGTGTAACTTATTAAACATACTGGATAATTGTAACATATGAAATAAGTGAACGTTTAAAGCCTATGCTGACAGCAAGTGCAGAAAATCCTGAAGTGGCTACAAAAATAAGAAAGAAAGGAAAAAGCATTAGTCCAGATTTGTATTCACATATTTCTGTGAAATCAGTATATGTTGAAGGCATAGTATGATAATAAAAAATTACATATTTATTTATTCGGTCCATAATTTATAGCCAATAATCAATAACTGAAAATTTCATTACTCTCAGATACTACTATACAAATCAGAATTGATACAGTTTCAGAAGTATCGGTTTGAAGAAGAACATTTAGGCTTTCATATATATGTGTGTGCATATATATATATATTTATATTTTTATATGTACCTACATTGAATTCTCAAAAGTGTTATGATGTGTAATCATAGAGAGAGATGTCTTAATAATAACTACCCTAATACTGTGTTATTTTAAATTCATATAAGGTTTTTGGCAGGCTGAACCATCCTGCAAGAATATATTGGCCTTCTGACCCCAAAAAATAACAATTAAAAAAAAAACACAGGTATGACTTCTGTAATGAAATAACTTACGACTTTGTGTGCAGTCATTTAACAAATATATACTATGAACAGTGGATAGAATGCAGCCTACGTCACAGTACATAATAAATGGCATATAACAACCACAGTTGAATTGTTCACTTGCTTGCTTCCAGATTCACATTACTCAAATTGTCAAGATTTCATCAAACAAAATAGTGCAGATTATACTTGGGATGATATACAGTGTGGTTCTCCCAGCTCTTCCAAAGCTTTCAAATGCACGGAGGGTACACTTTTCTGATCTCATAAGTCATGCTAATTTTTTACATGTTTACATAGGATGTTGTACAGTCACAGTGTAAAAAACATGTTTTCAATCTTCTTTTTTGTTTTTATTATTACAGTACTAGCATGTGAATGCTGTCAAGCTTCAACAGTATGTATGATTTACCTGAATGTTTTCAGATTTTGTACCACTGAATGGCCTCATGCATAATCAGTTGTATATGACCAAACATAAACTGTTTTACATACTGATTTTCCACAGTTTTATCCACATGAAATTTTTCCTTTAAATTCATTTAAATGCACTGTTTTAGCATCTTGCCCATACTTTGAACCTTTTATGTAACTGATATGTATATATATTTTTCATTACTGTTTGTTTTTGTTTTTATACTGGGTGACTTATGTTATGCTGAAGTAGTGTCCAGATACTTTTGGTATAGTAGTGTCAGTATATATGTACACTGAGGGGTCACAAGCAAATAGACACCTAATTTTTTGTCATTTAACTGATTTATGCTAACTAATTT